TTTGCACTTTCGCAGATTGTCCTACCCATGTCTTCCTGTCCAAATGTATTGAGTTGCTGCCATGCGATTGGCCGACTTGATAATTGCGTTAATGAGCAGTTGACCAGTGGCCAGGGAGTTTATAGTTTACTGATTCGTTTGATTAGAAAGCCTTTTCACTTCCAGTGTGGTTCAACACCGAGCCCTCCACCAGTCAACAAAAGCATTTTTTACCGTATGCACCATTTAGTCTTGCGTTTCATTTAGTCACACACGAGCTTTTTTCTGTCATTTTACACATTTATTTCTTAAGAATTCTTCCCAGAGAGTCATGCTGACAGTTTCCTTTACTGCAGCAGCATTTCTTCACCATGTACTCAAAATTGCATTTCTCTTTCAGTATCGCAGGATTAAATGTGTAGTGTAGTAAATTCCATATGACTTCCTTACTTTATGTCTTTCCTGGTGTGTAGATTCAAATATGAAAAGTGTCAAATGGGAAATCAACATAGGAGCCTCTTTAAACTCAGTAAAGAAGCAGGCCGGACCTTAGCTTTCTCTTTTTGTTTCATTGTGAATATGCTAGACTGCGAGCTTCCTGTGTTTGGTTGGGCATGTGTGCGCCTCGACAGCAGGTCACCTTGCAGACTGTTAACTTGGCGGGCAAAACCGCACTTTTCTTGTCATCTAAAGGGCAAATGGAACTGAAATGGAGGTTTGTTCCCACAGTCTCGTTCCTTTGTACATGTGTTGTTCTCTTTGTTTTTCCCACATGGATTGTATGGACAGCATCAATAGACGGTGGTAAGAGAACACACTGACTCACTGTGTTTAACAGGATATAACGTTACAAAAATATAACTGATGTCTAATTCCCACTTATTCTGAGCTTAAGTATGAAAATGTCTCCCTCTGCTGAATGTGAGGCAGTGCTTCATGTGAACCTTTTCCATCTTATTTCCTGTTACATTCCTTTCAAGTTAAATTTTGTTTTTAGTCATGGTTTAAAAAACAAACCAAAACAAAGAATAAGTATAGCTTCATATAAAACGCACACCAAAACATGAAATGGTAATAAATGTGTTAAATTAGCTGTTTATTCCAATAAGTGCTGTCTTTGTGCCACGTAAGGTGTTTATTACAATTTCTTGGTTCAAAAATGTATGAAATCTCTTTTGTCAGGCGGTGTGACCGTTTTTAAAAAAATAAGACACCTTAATTAATCCCACACTTAAGAAATTTACGTCTTACAGCAGCTCACAAGTCAGACGGAAAAATCCATCCATCC